TGAATATCGGTTTCTGGGTGGTTGCCCGAGATGGAGACAGAGAGGTCCAGGAAGGAGAGACAGGTATTAGAGATGGTCCAGGTGAACTTAAGGTTGGGGTGGAAGGTGTTGGTGAAGTGGATGAACTATTCGAGCTCCTCGTGGGAGCACGAGGCGGTGCCGATACAGTCATCAACGTAACGGAGGAAGAGGTGGAGTTTAGGGCCAGTGTAGTTACGGAAGAGGGATTGTTCCACGTAACCTACAAAGAGGCAGGCGTAGCTTGGGCCCATGCAGGTACCCATGGCCACCCCCTTTGTCTGTAGGAAGTGGGAGGAATTGAAAGAGAAGTTGTTGAGGATGAGGACAAGTTCGGCTAAGCGGATGAGGGTGTCAGTGGAGGGGGACTGGTCGGGCCTGCGGGACAGGAAGAAGCGGAGGACCTTTAGGCCATCTGTATGGGGAATGCAGGTGTAGAGGGACTGGACGTCCATGGTTAAGATGAGGTGTTGGGGACCGGGAAATTGGAAGTTCTGGAGGAAGTGGAGGGCATGGGTGGTGTCACGGACATAGGTAGGGAGTTCCTGGACCAAGGGGGAGAAAATGGAGTCCAGATAGTTGGAGATAAGTTCGGTGGGGCAGGAGCAGGCGGAGACAATGGGTCGACCAGGGCAATCAGGTTTGTGGATTTTGGGAAGGAGATAGAAGTGGGCGGTTCGGGGTTGGGGAACGATGAGGTTGGAGGCCGTGGGTGGGATGTCACCTGAGGTGATGAGGTTGTGGATCATTTGGGAGATGATGGTTTGGTGCTCGGGGGTGGGGTCATGATCAAGGGGGCGGTAGGAGGAGGTGTCGGAGAGTTGGCGTCTGGCCTCGCCGATATAGAGGTCAGTGCGCCATACTACAACTGCGCCTCCCTTGTCCGCGGGTTTTATGGGGAGGTTGGGATTGGAGCGGAGGGAGCGGAGGGCTGCACGTTCTGCGGGGGAGAGGTTGAGGCGATTGATGTCTTGACGGCAGTTGGAGATGAAGAGGTCAAGGGAGGGTAGGAGGCCTTGGGGTGGTGTCCAGGAGGAGGGGATGTGTTAGAGGCAGGAGAAGGGGTCAGTGGAGGGAGGGTTAGGCTCGCGGTTGAAGAAGTAAGCGTGGAGGCGGAGGCGGCGGAAAAACTGCTCAATGCCCAAACGTGACCGGTATTCATTGATCTGTGGGTGGAGGGGGACAAAGGTGAGCCCTTTACTGCGGACTGACCATTCGTCCTCAGTAAGGGGTAGGTCTGGGGGGACGGTGAAGACTCGGCAGGGCTGGGTGCTATTGTCCCCTCTGGAGCTGCTGGCTGTGGAGGCTGTGGGCGGAGTGACGTCGGCGTCAGCTGTGGGCGGAGTTGCATCGGTAGTGGGCGGAGTTGCGTCCGCGTCAGTGATGGGCAGAGCGGGGTAGGCAGCAGCAGCAGCAGTGGTGACGGTAGGCGCGACTTCAGTGTCTGTGGTGTTGGTCTTGGAAACGGAGGCGGTGGCATCGGCAGCGATGGCGTTCACTGTCCCGGAAGTGGGGAACCCGGCGGTGGCGGATGTGACGTCATCTGTGGGTTCTCCGACAGTGGCCTCATGGCCAACGGCGGCGGGCACATTGTAGGGAAGGTCCTGGGTACGGCTGGGGATTTGGGGGGTGGAGGAAGCCCGTTTTGGGTGGTAGGCACCAGTAAGTTTACTGTACTTCGGTTTTTAGTGTCCAATAAAGCTGAGTAGAATTGTGAGTTCAGGTTGTGGATCCTACGAAGGATGAAAAACAGGAGAGGTCCTTTCCAGGTCTGGGAGAGGGAGGCTCTGAGCTGGGGTAGGCTTGATTGTAGTGCCTGGAGATGCCGGTGCATTGCTGCGAGTGTGTGTTTCAGGAGTCGCAGGGAGAAATGCTTCTGAAGGATCTCAATGCCATGAGTGTCGATATTGTCACGGTTTCCTCTCCACCTATCCTCTCCTCTATCCATCTTCTATCCGCCTCCTACTCTCTCCCTATTTATTTCAGAACCCCCTTCCCCTCCCCCATTTCTGATAAAGGGTCTAGGTCCGAAATGTCAGCCTTTCTGCTCCTATGATGCTGCTTGGCCTGCTGTGTTCATCAAGCTCTGCACCTTGTTGTCTAGAACGAAATCAAGTCTGCTTTTCCCTCACCACTAATACCAACCCAGCCTAGAAGCTTTCTCCTTTAGCACTCGAGCAGCTCAGTAAATTAGTGGTACTACTGAATCTATCTTGGTGGCAGACGTCAAAGTTCCCCACCAGAATACAATTTGTGCTCTGCCACCTCTATGCCCTACTCCAAGTGGTGTTCAAAATGGAGGAGCACTGATTCATCAGGCATGTCTTGGGGACAACAGGTGGTGATCAAGAAGTTTCCTTGCATGCGTTTATCCTGATGCCATGAGATATCATGGGGTCCACTGTCACTGTTGTGAGCATCCAGGGCAATTGAGTTCCAATTGTATAACACTGTGGGTTAGACAGCAAAGGTAAGGTCTGTTTGAATTGAGCACTAATTCTTATGCTTGCAAAGTAGGATTTCATACCTCAGCTCTCTTCCCCGCCCGGAAAAATAGGTTTGTTAGGAAGTGGGAGTTGTATTTCTACATTTGGCTTTTGCCTGACATTTTTAAAGCTCTCCACAGTTGGTTGGAAAGTGAAGAAATAGATTTCCATGTCATTTCAGGGAAATGAGATTGGGCAGCAATATAAGCAACAATTTAGTGAATATCTGAAACTAGCCTGGAGCTGCGTTTGCTGACTTCACATATTTGAAATTTTAATCAACGGTAAGTGATGGTGAACAAATGCCTAGGTGCCTTCAACTGGTGATTGTTTATGCAGAGAGAATAAATTGCCTTGCAATAACTTATAGATTACTTAATATATTATTTCCTTTAGTCTATTTATTCTGTAAACTTTCACCACATGTTTTACATTTTCATGTTACATTTCTTGACTGAGTTAGTGACACAAAGCAGCCATAGTATATAGCTCAGGATGACTTTGTGTAAATTCTTTTCTAACCTGTCAGGAAGCATTTGCATTGCGTTCCATCAACCCGTGTCACAAAAATTCCTTTCAGGGAGAGTCCTGTACTGAAGAAGTTAACGGTCACAGTTATTAACATGCTGCTGCCTTACCAGTTGACTGCAGCCTTACTGAATTAGAAGATGGGCTGTGATGTGGTAGTCAACTCTATGTTCAATATTTATTAGTATGGCTCGGCAGCCATAATCTTGACAATACAGCCTCTGTTGTATCTGCTGCAACGGAAAACACTGGGTTCAGAAGGTGCACACTCTGTTGGCCTCCACTCTCTCTGGGCCCTCTTTTCGGCCAGCTGATCTTTTCTTTTCTTAACAGAACACTGGACAAAACAGCAGCTGAGACAGTCAAAGCAATTGTATAACTCTCTGGAATTACATTATTTCTCTCTCCAACTAATAAATCAGTTATCCATGAGTAATAAAGGACACAGTTGTCGGATTTATAAGCGAGTTCACAAAATCACATGCTCCTTGTCTTGGCCCTAGCTGGTAATGACAAAGGCTAATGCCGAGAGATGGATAGTACACAGCCCTGGGCACTGATTAGAGGTCTCACCTTGAACTTGAATTTTTTCAATGTGTGGCACAGAAATCCTTTTTATCAAATGCCTTCTTCAAGCCCTAACCCTAACCCTTCTTCAAGAAGGCATATTTTACACATTTTTGAATAACTTATATAATAATCATCTCTGGCAAGATTATGTTGTACATTAGTCAAGCTTAGGGTCTAGGCCCGAAACATCAGCCTTCCTGCTCCTCTGATGCTGCTTGGCCTGCTGTGTTCATCCAGCTCTACACCTTGTTATCCCTGTTTTTCCAAGCTTTGCAACATTTTGTCATTAAAAATAAATTCCTATTCAGTTCATAATTTATTGTCACCACTTTACCAAACCATTCAACATGGACTCCTAATTCAATATGAATTGCACACTGGGTGTATGACCCTGATGGACCATTGAAAACTGCAAATATTTTACAGCTGCTGATAAAATAAAACAAGTTGTCAGTTGTTTACCTTTTTACTGAAAGTCATTTCACTGAAGTGAACCATGACAAATATAATTACACAGAATGATTTGTTAACTGGTGAAATTGTTGCCTCACCTTAGCAACCATGACATCACACTTCAGCTGGTTTCTGTACAGAAAGTTGACGTTGATGAAATAGTTCAAATTACTTCTCTGAGCCATAATGAATCTGATTTCTGCAACCTTTGTTCATAATATAACCCTAGAACCCAACAATCACTGCGGTAAACCTGCGCTGCTCCCCAAGACGGTCCACTCTCTCCTTCCGCAACTGTGGTACCCAGCCATGTGCTCCAGGCTGCTCTGCACACGATTTCGAATTTCCTCGAAGCTCAGCTCGTGACACTGATCTCGGAAACCCTTTCCCACCGACACTACAGTGAAAGGCCTATTTTAGTGAAGTGTTAATGAATGGAGTGACTGTTAGATTTTGCTGCGACATCTGGTTGGAAGTGACGATCTGAAAATGCTTTCCATTGGATGTGCCGTTAAAAAATAGACAAAAAGCATCCTCCCCACCGCCCAGGGCACAATTTTCCGGCTCCAGCACGCCTACAGCGCAGTTCTGGACCTGCCTTCTCTTTCACTGATTGGTTGGACGATTAGCCCTATCCCTCATTCACCCCAATAGCCCTTTGGTTCGGAGATAGTAGGAACTGCAGATGCTGGAGAATCTGAGATAACAAGGTGTAGAGCTGGATAAACACAGCAGGCCGAGCAGGAAAGCCGACCTTTCGGGCCTAGACCCTTCTTCAGAAATCCAGAAAGCCGTTTGGTTCGGCCGGTCTCTATTTAATGATTGGAGCGTCCACGGAGCTCCCGGTCTTCTCTGATTGATTAGAAGACCAGCTGACCCAGCACCCACCTATGGACCCGCCTCTTGCTTGCTATTGGTCGTAAGAAGTCATCAGTCAAGCGAGCGGGATGGTAGAGTATGCGCATAGTTAATTGTGATTGCGAGCGAGTGTACCGTGAAGGATGCAGGAAAGAAAAGGTTCGCCTGTTACATTCATAAACGGTCAGTAAAGGTTACAAAGGGAGGTCAGCGTTTGGCGTAATATGCCAACAAGAAGGTTTCATGATTGCCCAGTTTAGGTCTCAAGCCCAGACGTGCGTTTTCCGGTGCCGTGATTTAGGCAAGCCGCCAGGAGCTTCAGGTTTCTTCCCAGAAACAGGCCCCCGTCACCGGCCGCGATCTTGGTTTAGCGGGAGGTGGCAATACTGAGGTTCGATTAGCGTGGTGAGGGGAATGAGAGGGCGGGATCATGTTGGCTTACCCACCACGATTATATAGTGATGGATGTACGGTACAGTACAGAAACAGACCCTTCGGTCTAATGCGACTATGGCGACCAGATATCCTACTTAAATCTAGTCCCATTTGCGAGCATTTGGCGCATATCCCTCTTAAAGCCTTCCAATTCACATACCAGTCCAGATGCCTTTTAAATGTTGTAATTATACCAGCCTCCGCCACTTCATTCCTATGCCATGCACGCACCACCCTCTGTGTGGAAAAAGTTGTCCCTTAGGTCCTTTTTATATCTTTTCCCTTCTCACCTTAAACCTATGCCCTCTAATTTTGCACTCCCCCAGCCTGCGGAAAAGATCTTGCCTATTTACCCTAGCCATGCCCACATGATTTTATAAACCTCTACAAGGATCATCCCTCAGCTTCTGATGCTCCAGGGAAAAGAGCCCCAGCCTATTCAGCCTCTCCCTATAGCTCAAACCCTCCAAACCTGGCAACATCCTTGTAAATATTCTTTGAATCCTTTCAAGTTTCACAATATCATTCCAATAGCAGGGAGACCAGAATTGTATGCAGTACTTCAAAAGTGGCCAAACCAATACAGCCACAACATGACCTCCCAACTCCTACTCAATGCACTGACCAATAAAAGCAAGCATACCAAATGCCTTCACTATCCTGTTTACCTGTGACTCAACTTTCAAGGAACTGTGAAACTGCATTCCAAGGTCTCTTTGTTCAGCAACACTCTCCAGGACTTTACTACTAAATGTATAAGATTGGCCTTTCCAAAATGCAGCACTTCATTTTTATGTAAACTAAACTCCATCTGCCACTCCTCAGCCCATTAGCCCATCTGATCAAGATCTCATTGTACTCTGAGGTAACCTTCTTCGCTGTCCACTACACCTCCAATTTTAGTGTCATCTGCAAACATACTAACCATACCTCTTATATTCACATCAAAATCATTTAAATAACTGACAAAACGCAGTGGACCCAGCACTGATCCTTGTAGCACACCGCTGGTCACAGGCCTCCAGTCTGAAAAGCAAGCCTCCACCACCACTCTCTGTCTTTGAACCAGTACGGTATCGAAATGGCTACTTCACCCTGTATTCCACGTGATCTAACCTTGCTAACTAGTCTACCATGAGAAACTTCGCCGAACACCTTACTGAAGTCCATGTAGATCACATCCACCGCTCTGCCCTCATTAAACATCTTCATGACCTCTTCAAAAAATTCAATCAAGTTAGTGAGAAACGATTTCCCACGCACAAAGCCATGTTGACCATCCCTAATCAGTCCTTGCTTTTCCAAATACATGTACCCGAGCTTCCTCTTCCCCCTCCCCCGAGTTGTCTCCCCTCCATCCCAATCTGCCCGGATTTGTCCATTTGTGGCTCTGCAGTTATGTTGATTATTTCACCCTAGGTTTTACGATGGTAAAAATGCAATATAAAGGTGACATGAAGCTGGTTGTGATAAAAAGCAGCAATACCATTAGAATCCAACTCCTACAACCATCTGTAAACTTACAGGTGCCTCTGCAGCTGGATGTCTGACTGAATCCTTCCTGCACAGGAGCAGGTGAACGGTCTGTCCTGGTGTGACTGCCCCATTGCGTGGCCAGCTCAGGTGGGTAATTATTCCTGTCATTGTACTGATATTTCCACAGTATCTCCATAATGTAGATATCTTTTGTTCTCCTGACTGGATGATCAGATAAATTCTAATCCAATGCACAGAATATTCTAATAGTTTCTCTCAGCTGTAGGGAGTGTGATTGTATTTCAGTCTAAGTTAAAGCTCTTTCCACAGTCAGTTCTCTGGAACAAACTCACTCAGACTGTGTAACTGGTTGCAGCTCTGTCTACAATCTACTGGAAGACCATGTGTAATAGGAACAGGAGTCGACCATTTGCCCCCTCGAGCCTCTTCCGTCATTCTATAGGATTGTGTCTGATCTGGCATTTCTCATGTCCAATTTCCAGCACGTTTCCTGTAACCCTAGATTCCCTGACTGATCAAGAATCTATTTACCTCAGCCTTAAATGTCGACAAGGACTCTGCCCCCACAGCTCTCAGTGGCCACAAGTTCAAAAGATTCAACCCTCTGAAATGAAATTCCTCCTCATCTCAGTTTTAAATTGGTGCCATTTATTCTGACACTACACTTTCTGGTCTAAAACTATACTTTCTGTTCCTAGACTGTGCAATGAGAGGAAACATCCTGTCAGCATTTACCCTGTCAAGCCCCTTCATAATCTGAACTCCCACTCACTCTGTGTCACTCACTCACTATCTGTATCACTGGTTAAAGGTCCTTCTACTGTGCACAGTGTTAGAACCCTCGCTGATTTTCTTCTAAAAATCATTTTTGGTTTGAAATGAGAGCTGAACTATGACTTCTGGCCTGTGAGCAGCAGCTTATGTTAAAAAGAACAAACAAGCTGTTATTTGTTTCTGAGGCCACGCCTGGAAGTTAATTGCAGTTTGGTTCTTTATCAAAAAGTCTGTCCACTCTTTTGAGGTCAGTATGTTAGAACTGGCACCAGCAAGTCTGGGAGAGGACATGATTAAACAGAAGGAAGGGTTGGAGTTTTTGAACTGGGGCTTTCTGTGAAAAGGAGTTTAGCTATTAATGCTACAGAATGAAGATTTAAAAATCCTATGTACCTGTGAAACATTGCATCATAGAAACTGCTAAAGTAATCTGGTCAATTTTATTTTACACTTTTAACTTAATTCTTAACCATTTCTTTATCTATCATTTGTGTGAATGGGACTGAAAACAAAGATTACTGGGTTAAATCATTGTTGTGTTTGCTCAGGATTATATGCAGTATGCTCCTGGGAGACGTATGTGCATACGCTAGTGACTGAGATTGATGGAAAAGTATCCACTGCTACAGTCCGTGTGGTGAAGCTACTCCCAGATTGCTGTTTGGTGAAGAGTTACAGGATTTTCATCCAGTGGTGATAAGGTAGTGCTGATATCTGTCTCAGTTACAATCATATCTCACCTTTAACAGAATAGAAACATAGAGAATAGGAACAGGAGTAGACAATCGTGGCTGTTCAGTATGATCATGGCTGATCATTCTGCTGAATAGCCTGTTGCCACTTTAGACCCGTATCCTTTGATCCCTTTTGCCCTCAGAACTATATCCATCTATCTTCTTGGAAACATTCAATGTTTTTGACTTAACTGCTTTCTGTGGCAGCAAACACCACAGGCTCACCAATCTCTAAGTAAAGAAATTTTTCCTCATCTCAGTTCCAAACGGCCTACCACATATCCTTAATATGTGAGCCCCTGGTTCTCGGCTCCCTGGTTATTGACAGCATCCTTCCTGATAGAATTTTGTTGGTTTCTGTGAGATCATCCCTCATTCTTTTAAACTCCAGTGAATTTTGTCCTAACCAATCCATTCTGTCCTCATACGTCAGTCCTGCCATCCCAGGAATCAGTCTGGTAAACCTTTGTTGTACAACCTCCACAGCTAGAACATCCTTCATCAAATAAATATTCCAAAACTGCACACAATACTCCAGGCATGGTCTCACCAAGATGCTGTACAATTTCAGCAAGACGTCCCTGCTCCTGTACTCAAATCCTCTTAGTATGAAGGCCAATATACCATTTGCCTTTTTCATCGCCTGCTGCACCTGCATGCTTATTTTCGATGACATGCGTATAAGAACACCAGTTCTTGTTTAACCTCCCCCTTTGCCAACCTAGCGGCATTCAGATGATGGTAATTTGTCTTCCTGTTTTTGTGATCCAGCTGGATAACCTCCCATTCAATCCACAGTATCCTTCATCTGCCTTGCATTTTTGCCCACTCACTCAATTCCAAATCACACTGAAGCATATCCACATCCTCCTTGCAGTTCACTGTTCCACTAGCTTCATGTCATCTACAAGTTTGGAGATATGACATTTAAGTTTCCTCATCTAAATCATTAATATATACTTTGTATATCTGCGGTCCAAGCACTGATCCCTGTTGTACCACACTAGTCATTGGCTGCCACTCAAAAAAAACTAATGACCTGTCTATTCCTGCTCTTTGTTTCCTGTCTGCCAGCCAGTTCTGTATCTACATCAATATAGTATCCCCAATCCAAAGTAAATCACATCCACTGCCTCCTTATTAACTCTAAAAGTTGCATTCTTGTCCAACATGACCTTTTATTTTTAAGCAGTGTCACTTAATTCTAGATTATCCCACAAGAGAAAACATCATTTTCACGTCCACCCTGTGAATACCACTCAAGAATGTCTTGTATGTTTTAATCAAGTCATCTGTAACTTTTCTAAATTTCAACAGATACAAATGTAGCCCACTCAACCTTTCCTCATAAGACAGCCTGTCTATTACAGCTATTAGTTGAAACATTCTCTGAACTGCTTCCAATACATTTCCTTAAATAAGGATACTAATACTGTACACTATTCCAGAGGCGGTTTTGGTAATGAATGCCTTTTATAGCTGAAGTGTAATCTCTCCAATTTTGCATTAAATTTTCCTTGTAATAAACAACATTCTTTAGACTTTCTTAGTCATTTGCTGTACCTGCATTTCAAAATTTAGCAATTTATTGGAGTAGGACATCCAGATCCTTCTGCGACTCAAAGCTCTCCAATCTCTCATCATTTATATCATTAACCTCTGTTTTATTCTTCATGCCATAATGGACAACTTCTCATTTTCTCACATTATACTTCATTTGCCAGATCCCTGTTCACTGAATTAAACTTTCTATATTCCTATGTAACCTTTGTTTCTCCTTAGCTCTGCTTTGTTATCTGCCTTTGTGGCATCTGCAAATTTACCAATCATTTACATAAATGATTTGGATGTGAATGTACAAGGCATGATTAGTAAGTTTGCAGATGATACAAAATTAGGAGGTATCATTGATAGCTAGTAAGGTTATCAAAAATTACAGAGCAATCTTGATCAGATGGGAAAGTGGGCTGAGGATTCGCAAATGCAATTCAATACAGGTAAGTATGAGGTGTTGCATTTTGGAAAGTCACACCAAGCTAGGACTTATACAGTAAATGGTAAGATCCTGAGAAGTGCTGTGGAACAGACAGACCTAGGAGTACAAGTACACAGTTCGTTGAAAGCGGCGTCACAGGTAAACAGGGTGGTGAAGAAGGCATTTACCATGCTGGCTTTCATCAGTCGAGACATTGAGTTCGGAGTTGGGACGTTATGTTACAGTTGTATAAGTTGTTGGTGAGGCCGCACTGGGAGTATTGTGCACAGTTTTGGTCGCCCTGTTATCGGAAAGACATAGTTAAACTGGAAAGTGTGCAAAGAAGATTTATGAGGATGTTGCTAGGACTAGTAGGCCTGAGTTATAGGGAGAGGTTGGCCAGGATAGGACTTTATTCCTTGAAACGTAGGAGAATGAGGAGTGATCTTATTGAGGTGTATAACATCATAGGATGAATGCATATAGTCTTTCTCCCAGGGATGGGGAATTGAAAACTAGAGGGCATTGGTTTGAGGTGAGAGGGGAAAGATCTAAGAAGGACCTGAAGGGCAAATTCTTCATGCAGAGAGTGGTGCGTTTATGGAATGGACTGCCAGAGAAGGTTGGTGAGGCAGGTACAACAGCAATATTTAAAAAAAAACATTTGGATAGGTACATGGACGGGAAGGGTTTAGAGAGGATATGGACTAAATGCGGGCAATCGGACCTAGCTGAGTGGGAACCATGGTCAGCATGGACCAGTTTGAGCCAAAGGACCTGTTTCCATGCTGTATTACTCTATGACTCTATAACTCTCAACCACTGATCCTTTCATCCAAGTTACTTCTTTCAACCGTAAAAAGTTGGGGACCACTGTATCCCTGTAGCACACCACTCATTCTGTCTTGCCAACTGAAAAATGACTAATTCCTGTCTACCCACTGCTTCTTGTTAGCCTGTCAGTCTTCTATCCATTGCCAATATGTTACCCCTTCAATGAGCTGTTCTTTTCTGCAATAAGTGCAGTACATCATAGGACCTTAAAATAGAGGGGAAGAATTAGACCATGTTGACCCATTGAGTCTGCTCCTCTATTCAATCATGGCTGACATGTTTCTCAACACCATTCTCCTGCCTTCTGCCCATAACCCTTGATCTCCTGACCAATCAAGAACCTACCTATCTCTGTCTTAAATATACTGAATAACTTGGCATCCGTAGCCCTCCTCAAAAATGAGTTCCACAGATTAACCATCTTCTGGCTGACATAATTCCTCCTCATCTCTGTTCTGAAAGGTCATCCCTTCACCCAGAGGCTGTGTCACAGCCACTAATGGAAAGATCTTCTTCATGTCCACTGTATCCAGGCCCTCAGTTCTGTAAATTTCAATCTGATGCCCCCTCATCCTCCTAAACGCCGTCAAGTACAGACCCAGAGTTCTCAATTGCTCCTCATGTGACAAGTCCTTCATCACTGGGATCATTTTTGTCAACCTGCTTTGGACTCCTTCCGATGCCAGCACATCCATCCTTAGATATGGGGTCCAAAACTGCCACAATATTCGAAATGCGCTCTGACCAGAGCTGATACAGCTTGAGCCGTACATCTCTTGCTTTTGTATTTTAGCCCTCTTGAAATGATTGCCAACATTGCATTTGCCTTCCTAACTGCCAGCTGAACCTTAGGATAATCCTGAACTAGGACTCCGAAGTCCGATTGCCCTTCAGATTCCCTATTTAGAGAATAGTCTATGTCTGTATTCTTCCTACTAACGTGTATAACATCTCACTTTCCTATGTGGTATTCCATCTGCCACTTCTTTGCCCTCTTGCCTTGCATTTTCAAGTCCTTCTGCGTGGGAGAGGCGATGGCCTAGTGGTATTATTGCTGAATTGTTAATCCAGAGACCCAGATAATGGGTTTAAATCCTGCCACGGCAGATGGTGGAATTTGAATTCAGTAAATATCTGGAATTAAGAATCCAGCAATGACCATGAATCCATTGCCGATTGTTGGAAAAATCCATCTGGTTCACTAATGTCCTTTAGGGAAGGAAACTGCCATCCTTACCTGGTCTGGTCTACATGTGACTCCAGACCCACAGCAATGTGGTTGACTCTTAACTGCCCTCTGGGCAATTAGAGATGGGCAATAAATGCTGTCTGCCCCACTTCCTCAACACGACCTGTCCCTCCAACCACCCTCTTTGTGTCATTTGCAAACTTAGCAACAATGCCCTCAGTTCCTTTGTCCAGATAGTGATGGTATAATGTGAGTAGCTCCGGTCGCAACACTGACCCCTGCAGAACTCCACTAGTCACTGGCTGCCATCCTGAAAAAGACCCCTTTATCCCTACTCTCTGCCTCTATCCGTGCCAGTACCTTGCCTGTAACAGCATGGGCTGTTATGTTATGTAGTAGCCTCCTGTTCGACATCTTGTCGAAGCTCTTGTGGAAATCCAAAAGGATCACGTCCACTGGCTCTCCTTTGTCTAACTTGTTTGATACCTCCTCAAAGAATTCTAACAAATTTCTAAGGTTTTGGAGTAGATTTGTAGCTCGGATTGTGGTGTTGAGGTTGGTTGGCTCGCCATGCTGGTTCGTTGTTGTTCCGCAGACATTTCATTACCCTGCTGAGTAACATCATCAGTGCAGCCTCCGATGAAGGACTGATGATGTTACCCAGCAGGGTAATGTAACGTCTGCGGAACAACGACGAGCCAACCAAACTCAACATTCTGACAGATTTGTTAAGCATGACCATCTCTTGATGAAGCCATGACATATACCATTTTACCTCCAAGCAGAGTAAAATAACAACGCTTCATCTGAGACTCCACTGATGATGTCATCTAGCATGGTGACACAACGTCTGAATGAGAATAAGCCAGCTCGGCGAACAAGTCAACAACCTCACCCACAACCTGAGCTACAGACCTTTGCCAAAACTTTAAATACCATTTTACCTATTTTACCATGCACTTCGAGGTGCTCAGCAATATTATCCTTAATAATGGACTCTAAAATCTTACCAATGACCGAGGCCAGGCTAACCGGTCTATAGTTTCCCTCTCTTCTTAAACAGGGATGTTACATTATTCATTTTCTGGGACCCTGCCTGATTACAGTGATTCCTGAAATATCTCGACCAATACCTTGACAATCTCCTCAACTAGCTCCTTCAGAACTCTGGGTATAGCTCATCCAGGCCGAGTGATTTATCCACCTTCAGACCTTACAGCTTCCCCAAGCATCTTCTCCTTAGATGGCCCTACAGTCACCCCGTCCCTTGACTCTCTTGAAATTCTGGTTTGTCGCAGGTGTCTTCTGCTGTGAAAATGATGCAGAGTACCTATTCAGTATCTCTGCCATGTCTTTGTTCCTCCTTCCTACTTCTCCTGTCTCATTTTCCTGTGGTGCAATGTCCACTTTTGCCTCTCTCTTACCTTTTATATGTCTAAAGAAACTCTTACAATTTCCATCATATTTCATCTCTTCCCCCTTATTGTTTTTTCAGTTATCCTGTGCTGGTTTTTTAAGGCTTCCCATTCCTCTGGCTTCCCATTAATCTTCACCTCATTATATGGCTTTTCTTTTGCTTTTATGCTTTACCTGACTTCCCTTGTCAGCCTCATCCTCCTCTTGGCATGTTTCTTTTTCCTCGCGATGAATTTCTATTGTGCCTTCTGAATTATCCCCTGAAACTCCTCCCATTGTTGCTCCACCATCCACTGATTCCCCTTTATCAAGAATATGTTACTTCCTCAAAGGAGTACAAAAATTGTTGAAAGTTGATTTCTTTCTTATCAAATCTTGTTGACTCTGACTGATCATTCCGAAACTTTCTTCATGCCCTGCTATGTCATCCTTGGGGGAGGTGATGGCCTAGTGGTACTAGCACTGGACTGTTAATCCAGAGACCCAGATAATGTTCTGGGGACCTGAGTTCAAATCCTGCCTTGGCAGATGGTGGAATTTGAATTCAATAAATATCTGGAATTAAGAGTTAAATGATGACCATGAATCCATTGTCGATTGACGGAAAAACCGATCTGGTTCACTAATGTCTTTACAGAAGGAAACTGCCATGCTTACCTGGTCTGGCCTACATGTGACTCACTTTTAACTGCCCTCTGGGTAATTAGGGATGGGCAATAAATGCTGCCTAGCCAGTGACACCCTCATACTGTGATTGAAATAAAGAAAAAAAAGATAAAAACGTCTGCCATAGGGACAATGTTAGAAGTTAATTGGCATTCCATTCTATGGAATCTTCCCTGAATCTACAGAATCTTCAAAACCAAAACCAATACATCACATCTCTCTGGTCATTTTCTTCAGATCCCAGGATGTTGTCAGCCATGACCCAGGGATGAAAAAGGGCGCACGGTGGCTCAATGATTAGTATTGCTGCCTCACTGCACCAGGGACCCGGGTTCGATTCTACTTTCTGGCAACTGTGTGGAGTTTGCACATTCCCCCCGTGTCTGCATGGGTTTCCGCCGGGTGCTTCAGTTTCCTACCACAGTCCAAAGATGTGCAGGTTAGGTGGATTGGCCATGCTAAATTGCCTGCAGTGTCCAGGGGTTGTGTAAGTTAGGTGGATTAGACATGGGAAATGCAGGGTTGCAGAAAAGGGTGGGGGGTGGGTAGGTCTGGGTGGGATGCTCTTCAGAGGGGCGGTGTGGACATGTTGGGCCGAATGGTGAATTGAACAGGTAGTTTTCACAGATGCATCAAGCAAAATCCCAGCAGCAGCAATAAACCAGGAAATTGTGGAGAGGGAAGAGCTGAAGAAAATTACAATCACCAGAGAAATGTACTGTAGGCGCTGTATGCTGAGACATCATATAATCCCTACAGCGTAGAAACACTGTTTTTGTGTTTCTAGTGTTTCCACATGTAGGGATTCTATGATGTCTCAGCATGCAGCACCTACAATACATTTCTCTGCTGTTTGTAATTTTCTTCACCTCCCTGTCCACAATTTCCTAATTTATTGCAGCTTCTGGGATTTTACTTGCTGCATCTATGAAAAATACCTGTTCAATTCACTTGCAATCTATTTATTTTCCATTACTAATTACCATGATTCACTTTCTATAGGACAGATACTCTCTTTATTAACTGTCTTTTTTAAACTATCTAGAGAACTGCTAAATACTTTATATTTTTGGCTTGCTTTCTCTCCTACTCTCATTTTCTCTCCTTATTAATGTTGCAGTCATTCTTTGCCATTTTGTACATTCAGTCCTGTCTTCTACCCTGCCATTCATCCTTCAGCAATTGTGTGCTCCTTCTTTATGTTGAATATCATCTTTAACATTTTTTTAGTTATGACGTGGAAGTGCCAGTGTTGGACTGGAGTGGATAAAGTCAGAAGTCACACGACACCAGGTTGTAGTCCAGCAGGTTTATTTGAAATTACAAGGTTTCGGAGCACTTTTTGTATAGTTAACCACAGATGGTATGTCCTCTCCTCTATCTTTTCCTAGCTTCTTGTCCTCCTTCAATGTCATTGAACCATCAGTATTCAGCTCCTGATCTATATCATTCTACAACCATACCTCCGTAATGATGATTAGATCATACTTATATGCTTGGAAATTTTCTTTTTCATTGGAATGTATCTGTTCTGCATTCTGAAGTATCCCCTTAAGTATTTGCCATTGTCTCTGAAATGACCTATCTCTAAGCTAATTTGCTACATCACGTTTGCTGATTACATGTCCACATGACTGCGCTTATTTAAGTTTAAAATACAAGTCTCATATACACTCCTCTCCCTGTAAATGATTGTAAAATTCCATCATATTACGATCACTGCTACCTCGGACTACCTTCTCAGTGAGATTGTTAATTAATCCACTGTTATTGCACGACACAATACCCAGTACAACTGGTTGTCAGGTTGGCTCCAGAATGTACTGTTCGAAGAGACTATCTTGGAAACCTCATCAAGGCCAAGTTTTGGATGACATGATGTCTCAATGGTTAGCACTGCTGGCTCACAGCACCAGGGACTTGGGTTTGTTTCCAGCCTCCGGCGACTGTCTGTGTGGAGTTTGCACATTCTCCCCGTATCTGCATGGGTTTCCTTCTGGTGTTACGGTTTCCTCCCACAGTCCAAAGATGTGCAGGTTAGATGGATTGGCCATGCTAAATTGCCCATATTGTCAGGTGATGTGCAGACTAGGTGGGTTAGCAATGGGAAATGCAGGGTTACATCGATGGGATGTGTCTGGGCGGGATGCTCTTCGGAGGGTCGCTGTGTTCGCAACAGACCGAATGGCCTGCTTCCATTCTGTAGGGATTCTAAGGCTATGTTTACCTATCTTTTTTCAGTCAATTTGCAAATTAAATCCCTCATTTCCCCCATTGCTGGTGCCCCACAAATCTAACCCACTTTTCCCATCTTTTGACTCTTGCATTCATTTCTCTCATCTGATTTAAGTGTTGAGGGAGTGTGGGCAGTGGGGACAGGGTATATGAGGCCAGCATGAAGGCCCACAATTCCCTGCTTCTGGTCACAGCGTAGAAGGAAAGCATTTGATCCAGTGTCTGTGCCAGCTCTCTGCAAGAGCACCACGTTTCGGCTGAATCTCTCATCTTTTCTTTTCACATAATTGTCCAATTCTAAAGGGGTTGGTTGAATCTGACAATGTATTCCAGATTCCACTTGCAGTGGAAAAAAATGTTTTACCCCATCCAGTCCCATATTAGCATTGCTATTTTTGTTAGTTTAATTAAACTGCTTCTTGATTTGGCCAACACAGTGAACACTCTCATTATCTCCTCTGTTCTGACATCTCATGATTCTGAACACCTAAATCAAATCACATCTTAACTTTATCGAAGAAAATTACTGCAGATGCTGGAATCTGAATTGAAATCATAAAATGGTGGAGATCACAGCGGGTCAGGAAGAGAGAAAGCAAGTTAACGATTCACGTCTAGATGACTCCTGACCCACTATGATCTCCAGTATTTTTTGTTTTCAGCTCATCTTAACTTTTCCCATCTCCAAGGAGAAAAGCCTCGTACCGCCAGTAAAAATAAAATACTGCAGATATTGTAATGCCGAAACAAAGAACACGGGTCTCAACTCCGAAGCCTCAAAACGATAACTATGTTGTCTCACCAGATGCTGCCGGATAGAATCATAGAGATATACAGCATGGAAACAGACCCTTCGGTCCAATGCCGACCAGATATCCTATATAAAACTAGTCCCATTTGCCAGCACTTGGCCTGTATCCCTCTAAACCCTTCCTATTCATGTACCCATCCAGATGTCTTTTAAATGTTGTAATTGTACCAGTCTCCACCACTTTCTGGCAGCTCATTCCATACATGCACCACCCTGTGCATGAAAATGTTGCCCCTTAGGTCCCCTTTAAATCTTTCCCTTGTCACTTAAACCTCACCCCTCTAGTTACAGTCCCGCTCACCCCAGGGAAAACCCCTTGCCTATTTACCCTATCTTTGCCCCTCATGACTTTATAAATCTCTATAAGGTCACCCCTCAGCCGCCTCTTCAGGGAAAATAGCCCCAACCTATTCAGCCTTCCCCTTATAATTCAGATCTGCTGTGTTTCTGCAGCATTTCTGAGTCTTTTTCGAATCTCCAATCTGTCCACATAATTGACGCAACTCATTCCTGGACCAATTCTTGGGAGTGTTTTCTGGATCCTCTCTAATACCTTTTGTCTCGATTTGAAATGTCGTGTTCAAGCCTTGGTAAAATGTTCTCATTCAGATCAAACTCATCCTAATGCAGTCCTTGAATTGTTTGTGCATTTGCTCCACCCCAACAGGGTTTCACATGTTTAAGGCCACAAAGACAAAGCTCTGAACAAAAACAAAGAACTACGGATGCTGGAAATCTGAAATAAAAACAGAAATAGCTGGTGACAGTCAGCAGGTCTGGCATCATCTGTGGAGGGAGAGTAGAGTCAACATTTCCACCTGACGTTTGTTACAAAAAGCTCCAGTTTTCTTCTGGAGTTTGACACAGAATCGTGTTTCCAATTCAGCCAATGAAGAAAAGTGATTGGTTCACTCTGGAGGACCAACTTCTCCTGATGGGTCCTCCAGACCTGCCCTCTCCTCCAATCATGGGCCTGAGAGCAGAACATGCGTGGTCCATAGGCAACAGCTAGATGTCAGTGCGCAGTTGAAGTGCAGGTATCAGGTCTGCAAAGAAGCTCTTTCTTCGCATCTCCATGGAAAGGCCGTGGCAGAGTCAGTGCCCGGGGTGAGTGGCAGTGGATGGGCCGGAAAACATCATAACACCCAGATTAAGCCTCTAAACCAAATGAGAAGATGTTTATCTCATGTTCAGACCAATTCCATGACGTGTTCACAGTCCCTCCATTGACTTACCCAATGTAAACCGCCGCCTCCTCATCAGGGGTACTGTGGGTAGAGTGCATGTGCGGCCGCCAACTAATTCTGGCATATGAGGTTGTGGGCGTGCACGGTAATTATGCAGGAGTGAATGTTGAGATTGGGATTGAGAGGTGATCTTGTTAATACATAGGATCCTGAGGAATCTGGAATCTGTTGAAATGATGTTTTTCCTCGTGGGAGAGAACTCAGCTAGAAAATACAGTCTAAAAATGAAGGATCTGCGATTCAGGATGCAGATCATAGATTTGCTGTGGTGCAGAAGGAGTCCATTCGACCCATCATGCCTGCAGTAGTTCTTTTATCTAGTGCCACTCTTCTGCTTTTTCCCCATATCTCTGCCTGTCATTTCCATCTGCTTAATCATCCAACATTCTCTTGAATGCCTCAATTGAAATTGCACCCACCCCATTTCCAGACAGTGTATTCCTTACAGTAACTGCTCGCTGTGTAAAAAATAACTTTTACTCTCATCACTTTAACTCGATGTTATCTCATTCTTTATTCTTCCATGAGAGGGAACAACCCGCATGATTTTGAAAACCAGTATTAAATCTCCTCTCAGCCTTCTCTCCAAGGAGAACAACCCCAACTTCTTCAATCTATCCTCCTAACGGAAGCTTCTCATTTCTCAAACCATTCTTCGAAATTGCTTCTGCAACCAACATCTTTCCTATAATGTACCACCCACAACTGTACTTAATAGTCCAGCTGAGATCTAACAAGTCTCTTGTACAGGTTCAAATCACCACCTTGCTGTATGGCTCTTAATAAAGGTGAGAACACTAAGTGCTTTATTAACTGCTCTTTTGACCTGTCTTGCCACCTTCTGCTGCTTTTGAATTGTACTCCCTACTTTATATTATTTTCCACCAAGTGCATCGCCTCACACTTCTCTGCATTGAACCTCATCTATCTGTCAACTGTCCATCCACTCCAAATCGTCAGTGTCCTCTTGGAGTTCAACACTCGTCTTCACAGCTTAAAATTCTTCAACATTTAATGTTATCTGCAAACTTTGAGAATGTCCATGCACATCATGATCTAGATTATTAATATATATCAGGAAAAGCAAGACTCCCAATACCAGTCCCTGGGGAACTCCACTACAAATCTTGCTCCAGCTTTAAAAATATCCATTGATCATTATTCTGTTTCCTCTGAGATGAGAATTTTTTTTGCTCAAAGAATGAGCCCATGGAATGCAATCTAGCAGAGAGTAATAATGGCAGTCATTAAAAATACTCAATGCAGAGATAGTTAAACTGTTGATCGACAAGGTAGTCAAAAAATATTAGGAGCAGACCAGAAGCTGAGACCACAATCAAATCAGCCATGACTTTATCAATGGCAGAGCAGGTTTGAGGGGCCAAGTGGCCTATACTTGCTGCAGAACTGTATTTTCTGGTGTATCAATGCTAGTGAGTAGCTTAATGAGAATAGGGTCGGTGAAGTGGGAGGTGAGTCTCACAATTGAGAAAACAGTTGAATATCATTGTGGACTGAAACTAAAAACAGATGTGAATTCAGGGAATGTCTGAACTGTGCTGCCTCTGCTGATCTATCAGAAAATGTACGATTTCCATTAAAATACTTGAGTTTTGTTGTAAACTGTCTAATTTCAGAATGAACACATGATGCCACTAATTCCTACAGTAGAATCTCCATCACCTCAACAGAAATTGCTCGAGAAACTTATCAGATCTAGCATCAACTGTGGAGAGGAAGAAAAATAAATGTTTCTCTCCACAGATACTGCCAGATTTGCAGAGTTTCTCCAACATTTCCTGTTTTAGTTTCAAACTTCCAGCATCCGCAGTTTTTTGCTTTAATTAAATGAAATCTCGACATTGCTTTGGATTATCTATAATCCTTTCTTATAGATTCACTGTAGGATAGCCTTCCTTTTATCCAGTTGCTCCATCCTTATTTTCTTTTCAGCCTCATTATAACCTGTAATAGTTAACGCCCAGTTATGACCAGCTTCTGGCCAGACTCTGTGATGTCCCTGTATTAATCATCTACACTGTATTACACTTCAACTTCATTCCATTTGTGTATTTGACTCTGTCAGTCCATAAACCTGTTTCCCTGGCATGAGACCTTACCTTGTTCTTGTGTTCTGATGCTGCTTTTTTTCACACTGTTTGAATTTGCGTTTTTCTTATGTGTCACTATCATCTAGATCATGTATCTTCATCCTGGGTGTGATGATGTACTGACTGTGTTAGAAGGAGCTAGCTGCACTTTTCCTTATGCCGATAAATCACCATATTCCTTTGGTTCCTAGAAGAGTTGTTGAGGAAGACAAAGAAACAAACATCATTAGTAATTTTAAATCAGGTGAGGTGAACCATAATGTCCATTTATCCACTTGTAATTGTCAATGTGAGATAGTGTACGTATCTTCCAGTTTTGCTGCTTCTCTGATCTTGAATACTTGATGCTCATCTAAATAAGTGCAAATTTGCAAGACTGCTATTTCTGAATTCTTTCACGGTTATCATTTCCCTTACGTTCTCTAAATGTTTCTCTAGCTTGACTGATCTAAACCACTGATCCTGCGATGTTTCTTTCTCCCTTGCAAACTCTACAAATGTCTGTTTCTTGTCAACATAAATTTCAATTAAGGTTGTCTCCTGGCACCTGCTCATGCAGATGTTGTGAAAACTCCTGCCAGTAAAGAAACACAACACTGCCCAAATAAGCACAAGAAATACAAGTGACTGGGATGGAAGGACTTTAAAGGCAGGTGTACTGCAACATGCATGTTTTGTCAATGTGTACTGAGATAGGTTTGGAGGTGTCAGCAAAGATCTTATTCAGTTCATAAGCTTTAGATACAAGCTCGTAAACATTAAATATTGCCACCTTGACAGTTTCATACACTGCACATTGTTCTCTGACAAGCTGGTATACACAGTCATAGCTGTACCTGTCAAAATATTTGTAACATCTGGTCCTGTCTCTTTTGGCCATTTTGCCTGCCTAACTATCTTCTCAAATGAGGTAAAATATGTTTGGGCTCCATCCTTGTTAAATTTAGGCATGAAGCATAGACTCTTGGAAAAATCAATTCCTTCAATAGAATCATAATCATTCTTCAGGCAACTGTCTGTTTGTATATTTTCTATTCTAAGATTTTCTCTGGCTAACTCATGTTTTCCAATTTCCTTGTATCTTTAGAGTTTGTTTTTTAAAAATCCATCTCCATTTGTATTTCTCTGTGCTTCTCTGTTTCCATTATTCCTGATTTTTCCATTGTCTTCTCATTCCATTTCTCTCCATTTTACATTTTGTTCAATTTCAAGATTTTTTCAAATTCGTCTTTCTCAAAGTCATGTTGTTTTTCAATTATAGCTGTACATCATCTAATTCCAACTGTGACATCCTGCTTCTAGGTTTCCTTTCTTCCAATTCTAAAAACTGTATAACAGCTTGAAGCATCTCGTCCTTGCAAAATCCTATTCTCACTTCTACCTTCAATTTATCTGCTAACTCTCTGTCTAGCTTCCAAAGATTTTAAATTAATCAACTGTTAGAACATAGAACAGTACAGGCCCTTCGGCCCACGATGTTGTGCCGAACTTTTACCCTAAACCTAAGATCTATCTAACCTCCACCCATACCTTATACTATCATGCATATGCCTATCTAATAGCCGCTTAAATGCCCCTAATGAGGCCGACTCCACTACCCTTTCCGGCAATGCATTCCACGCCCCTACCACTCTCTGAGTAAAGAATCGACCTCTGACGTCTCCCCTATATCTACCTCCACTCACTTTAAAACTATGCCCCCTCGTAATAGCTACCTCCACCCTAGGAAAAAGTCTCTGGCTGTCCACTCTATCTCTCCCTCTGATCATTTTGTACACCTCCATCAAGTCACATCTCATCCTTCGTCGTTCTAAAGAGAAAAGCCCTAGCTCTCTCAACCTTTCCTCGTAAGACCTTCCCTCCATTCCAGCCAACATCCTGGTAAATCTCCTCTGCACGATTTCCAACACTTCCACATCTTTCCTGTAATGAGGCAACCAGAACTGGACACAATACTCCAGATGTAGCCGAACCAGGTTTTTGTATAGCTGGAGCATAACTTCATGGCTCTTGAACTCAATCCCTCTATTAATGGACTCTAACACACCGTACACCTTCTTAACAACTCTATCCACCTGGGTGGCAGCTTTCAGGGAACTGTGGACATGAACCCCAAGATCCCGCTGCTCCTCCACACTGCCAAGTATCTTTCCGTTAACCCTGTATTCTGCTTTCAAATTTGTCCTTCCAAAATGAATCACCTCACACTTTTCAGGGTTAAACTCCATCTGCCACTTCTCAGCCCAGCTCTGCGTCCTATCAATGTCCCTTTGTAACCTAGAACAGGCCTCCGCATTATCCACAACTCAACCCACCTTTGTATCGTCCGCAAACTTACTCATCCACCCTTCCACTCCTATGTCCAAATCATTTACAAAAATCACAAATAGTGGAGGACCCAGAACAGATCCTTGTGGTACACCACTCGTAACTGAGCACATGTTGAATATTTTCCGTCCACTACCACCCTTTGTCTTCTTAGGGTCAGCCAATTCTGAATCCAATCTGCCACATTTCCCCCTATCCCATGCCTCCTTACTTTCTGCATGTTATAGCTTCCACTTCTAGCAAATTCTTCACAACATCCAAAGCCATTT